TGCTGAACGCGGCCATTGGCTCTCGTGTAAAGCCCGCTGCAGACGATGCTATTTTTCCTGCTGGATTACTTGCAATTTAGTAAATTACTAGGAATCCTGAATGCTGAGTGGTGCAATGATAGTAATTTACTAAATCGCAAGCAATCCAGCAGGAAAAATAGCATCGTCTGCAGCGGGCTTAAAACCCATATCAGACTACGGATTGAGATTGGGATTAGATTGAAATTTGACCAATCAGAGTAAAAGTTACTGCACTTGAGATTAATAAACTTTACTGCGATTGGTCAAATTTCAATCTAATCCCAATCTCAATCCGTAGTCTGATACGGGCTTTAAAGCCTCCGCTACAATGATTCTCAGTTCTGTCTACAATGGTCGTAGTCGTAAGAATAATCGACTGCGATTGGTCAATTCTTATCGAGCGACTACGACTACGACCATTGTAGACAGAACCGAGAATCATTGTAGCGGAGGCTTTACGAGACACGGGGTCTGTTCTTTATAGCTGAACTGGCTGCACCAGTTCAGAGCTTACATCTTTTTCCCTCCATGTTAGAAGGAGAAAGATAAGCTCTGAACTAGTGCAGCCAGTTGAGCTATATAAAAAACAGACCCACGGACACTTGTTCGCGTTTGAATAGAGCGATTTGCCAAGATGACTGGCTCTTTTTTTTCAAACCACGAGCAAAATCGGGTTGCAGATCGTAGATATCGTACGAGAAAGGAGAACAGGGAGGAGGACAACACGCGGGGATTGTCATTTCGTAACTTTGCGCTCGCCTCCCGATCTACCGAAAATATTTGCGCGACGGGACTCGGCGAAAGGACCTCGGCACTGTACGCGAAAGCGCCTGGCGGTTGGACTGCGATCGCCAGTCAGTAGTCCGGTCAGTCGAGCGACTATGGAGTCGATCGCGCGTCTTGTCAAGGTGTCCGTGCCGAATTATCTGGCCGGCCTACCGATCCCCGACTCGATAGGCGGGTGGTTCCGACTGGGAGGTAATTTCCGCCGTGCACTTCCATATGCCAAGTGATCGTATGCCACGACACGTCATCCTTCTGACTCCGCCATAACCTCCCGATTTAAAGGACCGTGTAAGGCTGATATCACATTTGTCGCACGGCACATTTCTCAAGCGCGTTGATTGCCCGCTGACTAGAAAGTTTCTAGACACTCGAGAATTTTATTGTCCCGCAGCCAATCGACGCGCTTAAAAAAAATTTCTGTCGCACGATAAATGTAATATTGGCCCAATCCCTTTCTAATTTATGTCGTTTTGCTTGTCTTTCTCCTTACGCTAGTGAGGGACTGGTTTGCCCTTCTACCACCCACTGCCCTTCTCGCCGGTATAGGATACATGTCCTACAGGGCGTTTTGCCCTCACGGCAGACCTGTGGTACGTATTTCACACCTGTCTCATATTAGAAGTATCAAGGACGACAGAAACTAGCTGATCCGTTATTGTGATATCGCTAGAAAAGTTATGTAACTTCCAGATAATGACTTTTATAAGTATCTGTCAATTCGCCATAAACTTGGCTGTAAACTAGATGGTGGATGAGCTCAACTTTGTAATTCTTAGCTGTTCCGTGTTGAAGGAAAAAGATACATCCACCTGCGCACACATAGAAAAATTGTCATTTCAATGAAACTCGAGTTATGAAACGTTCTATATGCCCTGTTTCTAGTGCAAAGGGTATTTATAGTCCAATATCGCGAGAAAACGAAAAGCTTGTTGAAACCTTTCTTCTGGATGAATTAATTTCCACTTAAACCAGTTGTAAATTATCACAGTTTGCATATATTATATTTATTATCGTGTAGTTATAGTAATTAATAATAAGAGTGAAACGAGATAAATATAATAGTAATATATAATAAAGACGAAATAATATAAGTATGTGACAGAAACCTAATTACTCCTTTTTAAATAACTTTTACATTTTTAATAAATTTGTTATAATTCTATTAGTTTTTCCACCTACTTCCATGTGGTAATACAAATTATTTATCTTACAGCCACATGGTTGCGTTAATCTGAAAATAAAGAAAGATATTGACAAAGTAGTGGATACTGTTGATATTGAAGATATCTCTGACAAAGCTGTATTTTGTCGCTGCTGGAGATCTGAAAATGTAAGTTTTTTTTCCTCATAAATTTCCCAGGAATTAGAAAAATATTAGAAAAATTATATATTTTAGTGTTACAATTAGAATATATACATTTTAGTGTTTCATCTTGTTTCTTACAAAAAGTGATTGAATGAAATTAAAAGATAGCCCTGAAAACTGTTCAATTAAAAGTTCTTTATGAACAGGTATTACTTGTATTCTCGAAAATAAGCTTTTATCAACAGTTGAGCGTGCGTTTATGTCATTTTTGATAATAAAAAAAATTTGTATGTACAGTGGCCGTACTGTGACGGTTCCCATGGACGTCATAACAAGGAACACAATGACAATGTGGGTCCACTCGTCATCACGAACAAGGACTAAACACTGTTACATTGACTAATTACCGTCACATTGGTGATTTCTCATCGCTGTAAGATAGCTGTTTACACACTATGCTGTAGATAAATATGAGGGATGGAATACACAAGAATTAATAAATTTGTATTCCCCCCTCTATAGACAAATTTTACAAAACAATGTCTACCGGTTTATTTTTTAAGACGCCTGGTCTCCAAGGGAAGATTTATAAATAAATTTATTTCCATAATATATTCAGTGGACTTTTTATTTTTATGCATACTTATTGAATCAATAAATGATTAATATAATTGATACAACACAAAATGAATGAATAATCCTATTTCACATATATCCATACCGTCTACAATTGTTTTCCAGTAAGATTAATATATACACAGCGTTCTGTGACAAGATGTCTTTTGGTCATCTATAAGACTATTAGAATTCAATATTATGAACACTTGTTATTTTCAAAAAGGCACGACGAACTTTATATAAGCATCTCTTATGCAGAAAAGTAAGATATCTATTTTAACGTGAAATTTGTTTAAAACGTGTTTTGCGATCGAGAAATTTACATAACTAAAATTAAAACAGTAATTTCAAACGGTGAAGTTTTAATCAATTCGGAGACTAATGCATTTATTATTAAACTTTGTCGTTTTACGTAACATATAAACATGAAAAATTTATAAAATATATCCTACATCTTTTTCAAAAATTTATTTATATTTCAAGCAGAAATTAACAGAATCTCTAGTACTATAAAGACAATAAAATAAAATATGAACTTTTATGTTATTACAATATATACGTATATACATAAATATATAAAACAAGATATTAATATAACAAAAATTATGTACATATATGTACATTTGATTGCATTTCTTTAATAATCGTAAATGTACTTGTAATAAATAAACGTCATGTGATTAAAATTGAGATATTATATACAAATATAAGAAGCCCTATTATTTATATTTTTACTGTTACTGCTATCATATATAATTATACATAAATATTTCTGTCTTGTAATTCAGAAGTTAATAATTATTAATTCATTATAATATTTCATTTCGTCCTAACTTCCAGTATAATAATTTGTAATGATCTCTTCTTGTATGTCTTTGTCTGCAAGAACAATTAATATATTATAAATCTTATGTGAATGTTAAATATAACATATTTTTAAAATATTAATGTTTCATAGCATTTTCATTGTGATTAGAGTATTCACTGGTCATAGATTTTCAATATTGTGTAATTATGCGCTAATCGCGTAATAAGACTCGCGATTTTTATTGTAAATTGCTATTTTTCAAGATTTAATTAAAAATATTTTTCTCGGTGAAATAATTATCTCGTATCCGAGATGTATCATTTTCTTCGTAAATCTACGACTTGGAGTGCCATTACATCTAATTTGTAGTGTCTTGCTTTCTGAAACAGTAAAAAGGTATGTAATACGAGTATTCGTGATGCAAGTCAAAATAACAGTATTAACTACGGCAAGGTTCAATTATTATGGTTACCATTGCATATACATATAACAATATCGGTGTTCTATTTTTAATTTACTAATTCAATATTTAATTATGTATATTATTTTTATTGTTGATTATTCAAATTTTACTTAATGTTAAAAATATTATTACATAAATTAATCGTAACATGTTTACCGTATATAACGGCGGTTCACTAGGATGTGGATGAAATCCTGTTTCTCTGCAATTTGCGATAAAATCTAAGCCGTAATCAGGTGTTAAGATGAAGAATCCCGTTCTGTAAAAGATATCATTTATAATAAACGTCACATCGAGGAGAGAGCGCACATGAATATACTTGAAAGTTAATGCAGAATAGATATTTATCCAAATTAAGAAAGAAAGATTATTACAGAGCAAATAATCGTAAAGTTGACATTTGCATGTATCTAAAGAGGAAATATGCTGAATTTAATTCAGCTTCCAAACATCTTAGTGACTGCTTGAAGAATTCAGTATAAAACGTACACAAAATTGTTTATACATACTCATCGTATTTGGGCGCGCAAACTATCGCTATAGCTTCCGCCATCATCAACTGATAAGCACAGTGCGTATGAAGATCAACGCTCGACAAAAATGCAGTCTGCGTAGGATGTGTCTACAATATGTAATAAATAAATCCAACGTAATTGTATTTAAAAAGGACAAATTAAGAATATATAAATCTTTGGCCATGTTTCAATAAAGTAAAATTAGAAACGAAAACGTAAATATAACATACATGAATCCAGCCGAGAGTGATAAGATTATGCTGATCCTGATAATCGAAGATATCTTCTTCGTTATGTGTAGTACAAGAATCTGGGGTGCCAGTTTGTTCCGGCATCAGAAGATGCGTTACCATCAATTTGTTTCGCTCCAGTCGTCCAGCTAAGATGCCGCATGTTTCTTTATTGCTCGTCGTGTTGCTAAAAGCGAGCGCCAAAAAGCTGTGCATTAATTTAGTCGGCAGGATAACGTCGCGTAGAGATAATCCGTCGCTCGTTAATAAGGAAGGTTTTGTAGAACGATCCACTGTCGGTGTTTTTCTAAAAAAAAAATTATTAAATGTGACAATACATGTGTGTGATTTGTACATTAATAGAGAAAAGTTTCCTATTGTGGGACAAGCTTCTAATATGAGATAGCGAGGTTTCTGCTAAATTAATAAGAATCGTCTATTGGTTGCACAATGAATTTATTGCCCTTGGAGCGAAATCTCTGTTTAGTGGGAAATTCATTGTTAGATTGTGTAATCGTCGCGAAGAAAAATTTGTGATTGAATTTGGACGTTGAAAACCTGCTATCTTACGTTGAAGGCCTATCTTATAATAAGGGACTTTCCTCTATAATTTATTTTAAACATATCGAAACTCGCAATACAATTATTAAGATGAAAATATTCGCAAAAAATATACAATTTAATAATGTACTTTTCAGCAACAACTTACGTATCCTTGGAGGTTTTAAATGCTTTATCATCATTCGTGAGGCTTATCACAGCTTTCGGTGCAATGGAAGGCAATTGTTTTGTCTCCGCTGGTACATTCGCAGTAATAGCAGCCTTAGCGGCTTTAACAGCAGCCAGAGCAGCCATTTTGTTCCTTCTGTTTTCTTCTTCCTTCTGCCTGAGCAAATATATAGAATCATATAACTAATTTGAAGATTGTAATAGCCACGAGTACTCTTGCTTTAACTTGACAAGAACCACAATCCGGATGGTCAAAACGTAGTTATTTGAATAATAAACCTTTTGCCAGTTTTGGTCAAATAAATCTTTTTATTTGTTAATCATTTTGCTGGCGACACACAACTTGAATGTCTTAATAAAAATTATCAATTCCATGTTTTTACTGTAATAAATACCTTTGAAGTTCTTCTTGCCTCAAACGTTCCTTCTCAATCCTTTCCCTTTCCTTCAAATCTTCTGAATACTTGTCAAACTCTGCTTGATATTGATCCAATAACTGTTCCTTCAGTTTCTCAGCTTTAGGCATAACTATTCGTAAAGCATCCCTGTTCATCGCTCTGTCCTTCGCTGATACACTATCATACTGTGGATGACTCCTTATCTTATCCACAAAAATGCTGTAGCAGTAGGAAATATTTAGTAATAAATGCGTATATACAAATATTTCATTTGCATCGATCATTAAAAAATATACTCATACAATAACGTAATAAGTTATTATTAATTATTACCTACGTTATAAATTTCATATATAGCGTAAATGCATTCTCATAGCTGCCGTCTTGCATGTTCATGTTCGCTAATCTGACCATTTCCACTCCAGTGCGATAATATCTAAAATCATAAGCGGAAAAGAATTGGAAAAATAAATCACTGAAATTGATACAATTAACAATTATTACGTTTTTGTTATATACTAAATACAGGCATTTTCACTGGACCATAAATGTTTTAATATATGTATTTATGTTGCATTGAAACAAACGTATATGTATTTTCAACAATAAGCTTAATCTCTACACACACACACAGAGAGATATTGTATAATTTTAAAATTATTCTACAATCCAATGTGTTGATTCTGATTCCTTGTGCGTAAAGATTTCAATTTTTACAAATATAAAGGATTTTTGAAATAACTTCTTTCCAGTGATATTCTACAATATATCTGATACAACTAAGAAATAGATACACATATTTTTTCTACCTTTTAGGCGCAATATTCGGATCAATTTCTACTTTCGAGGCATGCTCTGTAAGAGCCTTGATTCGTTCCTTGGGATCTTTGATACCCATTTCTTTCCAGGATTGATTGGTTTTGTTCATCTTTTTAGGTTAGGTCTGCTAAACTTGTAATATTAATAAATAGCTGAAAAACCTTCAGACTCTCTCAATTTCCCGACTTTGTAGATACCTTCCTCGGCGTCATTTTCATGTTCGAGACGAGAAGAAATATAGAAAAATATTAATTTTTCAAGTTGTAAGATCTGCCGCACTTGAGAAATTACAATTTGTGTGATTCGTGCTCTTTGATAGCGTTTGATAACGAGTTCGGCAGGCATGCCACTATTGCCACTAGGCTTTCCCCTCTCTCACTCTCTCTCTCTCTCTCTCTCTGACCAGTGCTGTAAAGGATGGTTTACATGGAAACATCCCAGTGGAAAATCTCTTTACGCAACAAAATATCAAATACTTATTCCTCTAAAAATGTAATAATATTAACATTGGATGTTTTATCGATCAAAATATCCATACGATCCATACTAAATCTTTATCATTAAATAACTTGATGCGTACTTGCCTTAATATGCTCCACTGTAAGTGCAGAATAGTGCAAGCAGGTTCCTCTCTGGTGCAAGTGACCGAATTCGCTATTGACTTTTGTCCAAGAAATTAATTAACGTGATACGTGAGTAAAAGGAGACTTAATGAGCCAATTTATAGTTTACTGCTTTTTGCAAGAGCAAATGGCTGCATTCAGCAGAAAATGCTTCTTTGCAACTGTTGTAAAATTCATGGAATCCGGTTGGCGTATGCTCTTAAATTCAAGATCAAGAGTATACGCTGATCAGATTTACGAATTTTATAATAGTTGTAAAGCAGCTTTTTCTGCTCAACGCAGCCAATGATTGATTAGCTATCGCATTGAGGTTAATCAGTGCGTAAGGTTTGTCGTACATACATGTAACAATTACTTTTTTAACTTGATCAAACTCGGAATGAATCTCTCTCGCGTCGCGCTTAAAAATTTTCGTCCGTTATTGAGATTAATCAATCGCGAGCATTGTTGGAATGCGGGCGACAAGGCCAAGCGCTGGTTCCGAGAAATGACGTAGCTTCGTAAACACCTCGGTCGAAACAAGTTTTTTCCGGTACGTGCCTAATCATTCGGCGCGGCACAGTCGAGCGAGGCGGACGTTCCGCGTGTGTTCGCGTCGCTTCTCGTAACGCGATTTAGTTCTTACGAAGATGTCGATCATCTCCTATACGCAACGCGATCGTCCCGTACGAAAGTTCTTAACATTTCTCAATCGCGATCCGTAATATCGTCGTGCGGTGATTTTGTCGAGACGAATATCACGCGTAACGTGAAGTAGAAACGCGATTAGGGAATT